TTTCTGGTTGGGACTCTTTGACTCCGCTCAAAAAAACAGAGTCCGTTGCAGCACTTTGACAGCGGCCTGAAAGGCCGTACAGGCTCCCCCCACTCCACCCTCCCGCCAGGACCCAAGCTCAAGGGCTTTACATTCTTGTTTGAAGGCCAACCATCTGCGGCCACCATCTGCGGCCTAATCGTCGACCCGAAAAGTGACCCGATCTGACCCGCTGAGCCGAAAGGTTGGCTCAGGTTTGCCCTTTTGCAACAAGAGATTGTAAGGGCCCCTGGCTATCTTGTTTAACATGGATGGTATGTGTTCAGCCCAAACTAAACCATCATCCTAGGCGCAGAATCTTGGCACCACAATTTGCGCCTCATACCACTGGCACCACAATTTGCCCCAGCTTCTCACAAACCCAAGGGCCTCCTTTGGGGACTAGCTTGTCACTAGAGAGGTCTAAGAGGGCGGTACGTGTTTGTGACCTTATTGGTATCCTGTTGTCCATGTAAGGGGCATGATGCAAACGACATGTCCCTCGGTGAAACTCGATCCGGTTGGTGTCTTTCTTCCAGGGATGCCCTTGGTTTCCTCTTTTGGAGAACCGGGGGGAAGGGTTTCCTATGAACCTGAGGGGTGGCATTCATTGGATATTCAACTTACTAAGCGGGCGACAAAATGATTGCTGGGACAACCAGGGATGCTGAAAACCCCACTTACACGGGTTGAACATCCAAGGTTGCCTCCAAAGAAGACCCTTCGTTGCCATTTGGGTCCTATGAACCTGTGGGGGTCATATTCGTTCGCACCCAACATGCCTTCGGCCTTTGTCCCGCCCCGCTCACGGGTGCTGCGCCTTGTCTCCAAGACTCGTTCTCTTTCCTCACACGGGTCTTCCAAGTAAACTCCACCTCGGCGAATTGGAAAGGAACTATACCCCTTGGTTTAGACCTCAACCTCACCATGCTTTTGTTGATCTCGATTTCATCGTTGGGGTTGGGCTCTTTGGTTTTCTAGACCCCGAACCGGTTTTTGTCGATCTGGGGCCAGAAAAAAGTGGGTCGGGTCGACAAGCATCGGCTTTGGAATTGCAATTGGGTCAAGCGAAGCCCAGGAGAAACCAGCCTGGAGACCTTTACTTTTGAGAAGCACCTTGTTCCCCCCTCCACAACCCAGTGGTTTCCAAAGCACGCCAGTTTGCGACTTGCATGGTTTGGTCTGAAGCAACAGCTGAAGGCACAAAGTGATCAATGGATTCCTTTGCGCACGCCATTTCCGCTGTCTCTCATTCCGAATCCAATGTTGACACCAACAGAAGTGAGACTGTATAGCTGTACTGGCCACCCGGATCTCTTTTGGTGCAACAGCTGCTTCCCTCCACTCACCGCTGTGCTCCCAGGAAAAAGCCGTTGGCTCAACTGCCCTCCGGATCCGATCGGTCGACGCGGTTGATATGTCCAGAGGCAATTCCGAGATGCTCTGGGTGCTTCCCGCCTGTTTCTGGGCCCAAAAACCACAAAATGAAATAGACGTCCAACACCAGGTTTCAGCTTGCAAAGAAATTGAAACCAAACGCCCTTTGTGGTTCCCTTGAGGAATGCTCCTTCAAGGTACCGTTTCTCCTGGGAGTGGTTTTCCCGTGTCAAAAACCTCAAAGAGGTTTGGTTTCCGAAGCGGTCGAGAGAAAGCGTGCGCCTGGTTTGCGGTAAAACCGCCGTTGCTAAAAGACAGCCACTCGTGGTTTCCTTGGCAAACCCATCTCAACAGGGGGTCCGCCAACTCAATTTGAGACAAACGTGGTGACCCAAGTTGAACAAGTTCCTGAGCTCTATGATGTAGAAACGCGTGCCCTTCTCGGTGCCCTCAACGGGGTCGCTTTTTGGGGGTGCTTCTGTTCACCACCACCGGCAGCATGCGTTTTGACTTGTTTGAATCGAAAACTTCCGAGATTTAGAACCGCTCTGCGTCTACTGGTTTCCATTACAGGTTCCTTCCGCTTTCTTCGCACCCTCTAGCGGAAATTAAAGCCGGTGCCTCCTCCCCCTGTCACCCCACGGGGATCACCTTTCTGGGATTCTGCCCTTGTTCAGCTTGCCTTGGTGCGTTGGTACTCATGGAAGCCAAATTCCTTGCTCCGAATAGATAGATGCACTTCATATGTACATATTCATAAGGTGGGGTATACCCATTACGTATGCATTCCCCCTCCCCCCTCCCCCGGTGCATGCTCGATGTGTACACAAACCACTCCAACCAAACGGCATCCATGCACCAAGCCATCCTCTGCCCATTGCCCTTCAAAAATCCAAAGGCAAAGAAGTGAGCAAGCAGCATATGGAAGACAAGACATGAACCAAAAGAGAAAACACTATTGTGCACATGGAAGTTAAACGTGAGACAAAACTCGATCAGCATGGGCCTTTCCCAAAAAATAATTTTCGAACCCCTTGCAAAGAGGCAAACGCTTCCGACCCCCTGATATGCATCGGTGGGAGCCTGCAAAAGGGGTGCATTTCAACGGTTCCGGCTCCTAAGTGCCGCACCCTGACGCGGTCGAACCTTGGCCGAAGAAAAATGAATGTCCGACTTGCGCTATGTGGTGAACCTTTCCAAAAAACGAATATGGCCTTCCCAACGGTCTGTGGACTTCTGTCTTCGGTGCGGTACCCTTCGCAAGCATCCAAAAAGCGAACCCCTCCAAGGCCGGAACGCCCAAGGGGTGATGATGCTAACTCGCGTTCGAAGGACCAAAGCCATGAACCACGGTCAACATATCTTGTTTTTTTTTTTTTTTTTTTTTTTCCGTAAAGGACATAGTTGAAATTAAGCCGTCGCACTGTTGGGGTTGAAATAGGCAAACTCGGCCCAAATAGGAGCCAGAATGGCCAGGCAAGACGCTTCACCCGCCAGCTTCACACCTTCTGATCCGGAGTGCAAGGAGACGATGAAGAACAACACCCATTATATGCCAAAAAGGCAATTGCTGACTTTGAAGGTTTGGTAGAGACAGATGGCATCGGGAGCCTTAGGTTGATGAGTTTGAAGAGCGGCTACAAGTTGCCTTTAGTGAGAAGCCTACAAACCTCTCGGGTCCTCTTCAAACATCTTCCAAGGACATTTGTTTGCACCCAGAAACCATGCCCCAAATTTCTGCCTGCGCCAGGGTTTGTGGAGCAACCTGTAGGATTCCATGCTCAAAGTTTGGATTCTCTTTAGGGATGGGTTTGAAGGAAGCCAAAGGAAACACGTGTTGCCAGTGTTTTAGGGACTGATGCCAAAGGACGTGAGAGATTCGTGTGCCAGATGCGGGATGTCTGGCTTTGTCCGTTGCCATTCATCTTGTCTTCGACAGAGATGCCATGGGTGTAGACAGCACTTGATAAACTTGGTAGCCTGGGACCGAAGGAAGCCGTTCACTGCGTGTTGGTCATCAATTAACGGCTCCGAGCACCCCTAGCATAGGTTCAAGCCGAGGTGAAAATCACTTGTTTCCCCTAAGGGACATTAGGAAAATAAATGTAAGTGTGAGTCCCCTTGTCTCTCTTTGTGGGCGCTATGGACTACCGACGGGTCATGTTTGACCCAAGCACCTATCGAGCTGCGCTCTGCGGGGTGCGCAGAGCGACCGGGTCCCCGGGCTGGTTGTACATGATGCCCCCGGAGGGGTCCTGCCGCTCGCCGAGCTCGCCCATGGCCTCGGGAGCAACAAAGGAAGCAGGCAAGCAAATGGGCGAAATGCGGCGAAATGCGGCGAAATGAGCAACATGCGGCACGACTGTAGATAAGCTTAGCTTGCAACAAAGATGCGTCAAAACTGCAAACCAGATCATTTTGAAGCAAAACATCACAGCACTTTCCACGCGCATTTGAGCGCCCCACCGCTCGGCTTGCCTCCCGATTCCGGGCCGAGGAAGTAAGCGGTTTCCCCCGTGCAGGGAATGGACTTGAGCCGAGGCGAGCTCCAATCATTTCAAGCCGATCACTTGTTGCCTTATGTAAACAAATCTTCCGGCCAAGGGCGACAAAGAACTCTGCAGGACTGGCTTCGCTTGAAGCACTGGCCCTCCCAGCTTGCCATAATCATCTCCACGAGCTTGACCGCACCTGCCACCGGCACGGATCTTGGCGCCAACGTCCTTCTCAAGAGACTGACGCAGTTACGTCTTTCAAGACATCAGGTCCCTTGCCAGCCCCCATATATGAGCCTCTACTGGAGGCCCTACTGTCAAACCCAGGACGGCCATAGGGCTGCGACGCGCGTTCGGGGGCACTTACATTGAACTGACAGGCCGCTTTTACCCTGGATATGTCTGATTAGAGTAGTCTTTTGGGGATGAACCATCTAAGACGCTTCAGCGAACATGGCGCAGGCAGAGCCAAAGTTACGGTCGTGTCGGACCCGCTCTTAGAGTTCGGGTCGCTATTGTAGAAAACTGTTGCCAGGGTCGCTGCAATGGAAAGTGGTTTTGCCCCTTAGAGTGTGGGTCACTATTGTAGAAAACTGTTCCCAACTCAGAATCCTGTGACTGTTTCGAGGGTCGCTTTCATGGAAAGTGGTTTTGCCCGCTTGGGGGGGAAAACAAAAACGGGCAACAGAAGGACACACAGGCCAGATCAAAGCAGTGGCCTTTCAAACAAACAAAAGGGTGGTTGATCCACGCTTCCCGCTCAAGGCCTTGCTGGATTAAGGAACTCCTGTTCCCCAAACCTTCTATTTTTCTATCCATCGCGCATTATTCAAGAAAAAAGGCAAGCACTGGGAATCTGAGAGTGAGTCTTGGTAAGTCCAAGTCCAACCCAGTCCCCTTTATCCCACCAAGGCCCCAGACCCTCCAGATGACTGCCAGCTGTCCGGCGGGGGAACTCAAGGCCCAACATTGCTTTTGGCATTTCTTTCAGTCCTGCCAAGAATACTCTCACGCCTTGCCCAGCCACACCTCTCCACTTCAAGCCAACTAAGTTGCAACGAGTCAAACTGTTCAGCTCTTCTAAGTGCTTCTTGCGGCGCGCTTTTCTTTCACTCCGTTCATCTGGCGGAGTGGACAGAAGGCGAAGTGTCTGTCACAGCACCATACCCCTTCGTGGCTGTTGCAAGAAGGAAATCTGCAAGGCTGCCGTGAGCTGGCAGGCAAGAGGAGGCCCCTTTCGGCCACGAATTTGCCTCACACAAAGGAATGCGAGGGTGTTCAAGCCTGTCAAAGCAATAGCTCTGATCTAAAACAACTGCAAATCGAGGAGCTAGTCATCCAATTGATTGGCAGAGGCGCTCAAACAAAGCTGATGACCTGCCAAATGCCATTCGCCATTTGCAGGAAAGACTGGAAAATGACGGTCGCAGCTTGGCGAAAAGAGGAAAGCTTTTCACTGAGCTCCACTCCGCTCACTGTGAAGACTGCGGACCCGCTGCTGTTGTGCAGGTGAAAGCGAGACGCAAGCTCGACCTGGTAGTCTGCTGGGTCCACCAGCAGGACGGAGGGGCCAAAGATCTTCCGGATCAAAGGCTCCAAAGTGGGGAAGTGTGTGCAGCCAAAGATCAAGTAGTCGATCTTCGGCTTGCCGTCCTGGAAACTGCTCCCCACACTTCTCTGGTTCTTTTATCATGTGGGCACAGCTGGGATCAACCACTTGCGCACCTTGATCTTTGCTCACTCGCGCGCCTAAAGCAAAGCAGGCTTGGCGGGGCTGGGGTCGGGGGGGTGGGGGCAAGGGGAACTTACAAACACTAGCACCTGAGCGCGCGAAAGCAGCACGGCTTTTGAATTTGGAAAGGCAGGCGGGCGCTGCGAATGACAAAGATGTGACACAAAGGCAACGCGGCAACACAAGTTGACCCTCAAGCAGCACTAGACACATGAACTGCTTGAAGAGTTTTCAATAATAGCATGAACCGGTTTGGAAAACAGCTTCGTTTCTGTTTGTTTAGAGTTTAGGGGTTGTGGCCATTTCCCAGCACAGGACTCCGGACCGTCTCTGACTTCGAGCTACGCAAATATCAAAACAGTGTCTGGGGAGGATCTGTGCATCACATGTTTCGGCATGAAATAGCTTCCGCGCCAGTTTTCGATCAGTGACTGGGCCTTGGGCTCGCCACCCTGAGCCGGAGATTTCAGTGAACAGCAATCCAGGTGCACAAGCGAACAGTTCAGGTGAAGCGATACCCGTTCCCTGAACTCGTCCCCCGTAGAGGTGGAGAAGGTCTTCAAACAACCGCGCCTGATCCAAGTAATCGACAAACTTCTTGCGCAGCATGGCTTCCGTCTGTGCTGCCCAGGTGTCCGGCAAACTAAAGGGACCTTCTCTTTGCACAGCCGCCACACATTCAGCGCAGCCGATGCAATCCGTGGTGTTGGCTTGCAGCGGGAAGTCACTCGGCTTGCTGTTGGCCACGAGGTGGAACCTGAAGCTTCGGTCACAGATCCAATTGGCTGTTTGATGGGCCCGAATTTGCCTGGCCTCAGATGCCGAGTGGGCATGGGAAAAAAACATCCATTTGGGGTTGGCCGAGTTGAAAGAGGAACCCTTCCCAAACAAAGGAAAAGGGGCGCCACTAAACCATGGGGCAGCATCTTGGACTGAGTTCTTTATCAATCCCTCTCAAGAGTCTGCCTCGCTTGAGAAATCCGGGGTGTCCTGTTAAAGATGGACGCAGTATTTCAGCCCCCTTCATGAGACACGTTCAGCGAAAGGTCACACTGGCTTGTCCATTGCTGGCTTGATATTGAAGTTTTCGATTGCCCAAATGCATACGTTCACCGGAATGAATGGTGGCCGGTGGAACCTGTCTGTCTTGGCCAAAAGTACAGAGAAGCCGCCGCTTGATAACGTAAATCTTGCATCATGGCTACTGGCAAGCCAGGGCAAGTTTCAAAGCCCAGGTGACATTGGATGAGTTCGCCAACCCCCAAGACCCAACCCACGCAGGTCTGGGGGCCCTGTGCATACGGGGCGCAAGAGGCATCGCCACGCTGCGAGGATAGAGGGAACACGCTGCCAGGCCGTGCGCCAGTTTTCAAGTCAAAAGAAAGGCGCTGCGCGGTGCAAAATTCAAAAGAATTCCAAAACACAGTAGCTACAACATCGTAGGCTCCACTAGGCCATAGCAATAAGAATCATGTCCAACATAGCAGCGCAATCACACCGCGATAAAGCATACACTGTGCAATCCCGAAACACAAATCCCCCTTCCCAACCCCAAACAAGGGCTGTGTGCAAAAGGCTCTTGTCCCCAGCCCGGCCATCACAGGATCGCCCCCAGCCAAGGCGCCCTGGCGCGCTCAACACCTGGCAGCAATCACAACAGACTCGGATGGACCCCGTAATAGAAATTTCGTACCAACCAACAAACAGACAAAACGCCTACCCGCCCACCCACCAACCCAACCACCCAACCAAATAGGCCAAGGCAAACTAAATCTCACCCCAACCAACCCAGACCCTAACCAATTCAGATTTAACCAAATGCAAACCGGCGCAACCCAGCCTAAGTGAAGCTAGATCAAAGCAATCCAAGTCAGCCGAACCAAACCAACCCACACCAAACATCAAAGAAAGTTTCTCCAGGTTTTGCTCCAGGAAGTTAAATTGGGAAGGTTCTCGGAATCTAGTAGCCTAAGCAAATGCAAGCTTGTGCATGGGGAATTTAAGCTTGGAAAAGCCAAATTTAAGCTTGGATACCCAAAGTGCGAACAGACTAAACCAAGCAAACTCACGCCAAATCCAAGCCACACGCCTATCAAAGCCATCCCACCCCAATGCAAGCCCGCCTGAACCACCAAAGCAAACCAAAGCGCATCAGGCGCAGCAAAGCAAGGGACCAGCAACAGCCCAAACCAATCTACAACAGCCCAGCCAAGGCCAATCAAACGCCAAAGAGCGCGAAACTAATCCAAGCTAGACACACACACACACACACACACACACACACACGCACACATCACAGACCAACGCAAATATCACTAAAGCCCAAATTGGCCCAAACCAACACCGCCGAAAACCAGCCCAACCCGTGCCGGATCACGCACGCACCCACCCACACACACACACACACACTCACAAACACATCCGCGCGCGAACGCGCACCCACGCACCCGTGCATCCGTACGCAGTACATGAAAATGCTTGTGGCAGCGCAAGACCCTTATACCCCCATCGTTTTGCGAGCGCAACTTACCCACCATTTGCTGAAGCACCTGGACCAAAAACACAGTAGCGGCTGCCTTGCAAACCAAGAGGGGAAATAACACAAATTATTCAGACCCAGCATATGGACGCGACAGGGGGCTCTGGAAAAAACAAACAATTATCCAGCCGCTCTGGGTTTGCTTTGGGACTAGACATGTTTTGGTGGTTCCGGGAAGCATGCGAAGCGCTCTTCTTCCAAAAGCGGCTGCAAGAATCTCTAACCAACTTCTCCTGCCAACTTTTCGAGAGTTACTTCGCCTGCCAACTTCTCCTGCCAACCTTCCGTTACTTCACCTGCCAACTGCTCATGCCAACGTTTCCAGAGTTACTTGACCTGCCAACTTGTCCTGCCAACTTTCCGCGAGCTACTTTGCTTTGCTAAAACCACCAGCGTTTCTTTTGCACCATCGCTTCTCCACTCTGGCGGGAAGGCCGGACAGGAGCTGTTGAAACGCACCCCTGGGAGATCGTGCACGTGCGAGTGTGTCTTGGTCACGGCGAACCCTGTGCAGGGATCGTGCGTGCGAAATGGTCTTTGGAAGATGTCTCGTGGTTTGCGCGCCTCGCAATGGCGCGGTCGCGGGCTGGATTCCCGCCTGGTCCGCGGCAGCTCGAAAATCACAGCGGTTAAGCGCAAAAAAAAAGGACGCGAAGCGCACTCCCGCAGCTGGCTGCTGCTCGAAAATCGCAGCTTTTAAGTGCAAAAGTTGTACGCCAAGCGCACTCTCGCAGCTCCGCGCGAAGAGCCTTCCCGCAGCCCTGGCTCAAAATCGCAATTTGTAACTAAAGCGAAGCGCATTCCCATGGCTCCGGCTCGAGAACGGCAACTTTTAAGCATAAAAGTAGTATGCAAAGTGCTTGGCTTCGGCTTGAGAATCGCAGCTTGCAAGTGCAGCAGTCGTATGCGAAGTACACTTCCGCGGCTAAAACCGCCAGCCTTCCGACGCAGCTAAACTGCGCACAGATGTGAACAAGAGAGGTTGGCTAGAGAAACGAACATGAAAGATTGGGCAAGAGAGACTGTGGAGCATGATGCGCGAGAGGAACTTTTCCGCAGCATCATGAGCGACATCATGCACAGCGTCATGCGCAGAATCATACACGGTGCCATCTGCAACATCATGCGCAACATCATGCACAGCTTCGCGCGCAGCATCGAATCATGGCATCATGCGCAGCATCATCGCACGGCATCACGCATGCGCAAGAGAAGTTGATAGGAGAGATAGTCAAGCAGAGCCACGTGAGCCGGGACACTGACGTATTTACGTTTTGTTGCTCATCAGGTGGAGGAGGCGTCAGAGTTTCAGCAAGATTTCTACGCTTCCGAGCCACCCGTCATCTGGTTTGTCTTTTTTTGCACCCAGTGCAGGCACTGTCCAGTTCAACCCCGCCTGGCGCTGGTAGGCCCCGGATCTGCAGGTGGCGTCGGTGGCGAAGAGCCCCACCCGGCGGCAGCCGGAGCCGCCCAGCACTCGGAAGAAGCTGCCGTAGGGCGCCGCGATGGGCAGTACCGGGTGCTGGTGGAAGGCCTCCTCCCCTGGGACCTGGGAGGCCAATCGCAAGCGGGACCCCGAATCCCATGAAAACCGCTTGATCCACCCCATGTGAGTATGGATCTGAATTCGGGTCCCAAAGGTGGACATCGTTGGCGCAGCTTGGCACGTCCACCAAGCCATGACATGTGCAAAAAATCGCCTTCAGGAAGATAGGGTGAACCGGAAACTTGCAATTTGATGTCAGAAGCTTGGGCCCCCTACAGTCTTGTCGCTAGGTGACCCAGGGGTCAGCTGAGGCAGGGGTGATAGATTCTTTTCGTCGCGTCCCCAATTCTACTTTTAGAATAGGCCCTACTTGAGGCAATACTAATCTGGCCGACTTCCATCCAATCCTTACACCATGTTTACCAGGGTACCGGGGAACCAATACTCACCAACTCCAATAAGCGGACCAGCCGTGCGACCCTAATTCCCCTATGATAAATGGTGTTGGGGCGCCAGAGAATATTAATTCTGGGAAGGGGGACCGTACTTACTAGGGGGATCTTGCGTTGCCGCAAAGGTGCCAAGACTTGGAATGGGGAACACAATCATATAGTCACTTTGCAACCTCTCGGAGGGATGCTCCTGAAGCAAGAGCTGAGGATTCAATATGTTGTGTCGTCCTAGGTGCAATGGGCATGCACCTTCCCTAAAAAGAAGCTGCTCAGAGCCAGCAAGAAATGATTGGATCAACACCAGCTGGAGAAAAATGACCGCCACGCAAAGCAGCCAAGAGTCTCTTGGAGCATAGGACAAAGCTCAAGCCACGCCAGCCCAAGCCCAATCCTCCTATCCTAACCCGTAACCCCATCCGAGCCCAAAGCTCCCCATGCATTGAACCAAGACAGGAGGACAGCAGAACAAGCGCAACCCACGGTCTTTCCAGCTAAAGTCCACAAGTTGTGCAAGTCAGATTTGCTTTGGCTTCTTCAATCTAGAACAAGGTCATCACTCTCAAACGGCCATTTGTTTGCCTTCCGTGGATAGCAGGCTTCTGCCCGCTCGCGAAGGATCTTCGAACTCACTCTATGGGGAACCTCTCCCTTGAGTGGTGGGTTTCCCATAAGGTCATCCCATGCAATGCTGTAAAGGTCAACCTCCATATGGAAATACGCCTAGCCTACTAAGCGCACCCGTGCGCAGAAGTTCTCTCCATGAGCAAAGGCCACCGCGCACATGTCCCACCCAAGCACGTCCGTCCATGTGAGTAACGGTCCCGCTTCCAACACACATTTCAGCTCAGACTCGCCTCACCGGACCTTTTGACAGAGCTCCCTTTCTCTTCTGGGGTGTGTGCACAGAGGCTGGCGGGCTGCATCGTCATCATCAGTTTTACGCAATTTATCCTTCAACACGGGTCCTTGTTTGAAACGTTTAGAGCAAATGTACATCAGCAGCATTCTTGGCCTAACTTGTCTCTCCGGCGCAAGCGTTCACATGGACTCTGCAACATCAATCGGCAAGCCCACTCTCTGTCTTCCAATCTAGAGTCAATCCTGGGAATCCTTGCCCTGCGCAGTTGGGCAAGCTGCCCGGCCATAGCATTCAACCCTATAAAACTGCTCGGACTTCCTGGATGCCCTTGCCCGCTAGATGCGAACGCGGCGCATGGAACGCGATGGCCGCCACTGAAGCGGTGTTGCAGGCAATCAATGTGAGCCTTCGCTGCCAAAGCTCCAGGCTGTGTGCAGGGCGTATTGCCTTCTGGCTGCTTTCTGGCGTCCCTTCAACAAATGAGCAAATGATGGCATCCTTTGCAAACACGACGTGTTTTCGCCTACAAGGTTCAAGCAATCAATACCCAAGGGAGTCCTGAATCCTTGGTCCAACCGTGTGGTTTCTCGGCCCAGTGCTGTCAAAAGCAAAAGCAAACCACATAGTGTCGTTGCTTTTAATTAGGTAAACCACAGAGGCCGGTGGTTTCCCTTTCAACTTCTTTTGGGGATGGGCCATGGTTGGTGCCCCAATTAAATGAAACCCCGGCAACCGGAGATTCCGTCCTGGTCCTGTTTTGGAGCAGCGTGATGATCTCCCGCGAGTAGTCTGCAACATCCTTGAGCAGGGTTCCACCTTTGTTTCGGTTTGCAACTGACTTAAACCCAGGGAGTGTCTATTTACTTAAAAGGGAGAACCCTTGCGTTCTAGTGTGTAAACAACTGGAACCCTGTCCTTGGGCGGCTGAGGCCCATATGGTGCTCGCTGTGAGTCTGCCAAATAAGTCACATCCACCTCCAGCGGCCGAGAATGACTTGTTGGAGCTGGGAGCTTCAGCAAAGGCTTCTTGCGCTTCGAGCTGTTGGCATGACGGGAACAAAAACATGCAAAAAAGAGAGAGAGAGAGAGAGAGAGAGAGAGAGAGCGAGAGAGAGAGAGAGAGAGAGACAGAGGGATTCTCTCTCATGCCATTTTCCACATTTCCATGGTCCCAATTCTTGAGCTGTCACCCTTCGAACCTGGAGTCTCACATTCCCATGAAAGTCGCTCCACTGCCCTTCGAAACATCTCGAGTCCAGCGATCTTCTAAAACGTGCCAGGAAAGCAATTGCCGACCTCTTCCCCCACAAATGCGGGTTGATCAATACTCCTGACCTTTTAATCAACCCGACATGGGAAAACTTCGGGTGGGCCCGTGAAGCAGGATACGTCGATCATGGCCTCAAACTTATATACTGCTACTTGCACGTGCTTAGACGTAGGCAGGTGATAATCGGATGCATATCCAATTATTCGTTGCAAGTAGCTTGTCATGACAATCGTGGGCCTCCAAAACAAAAGCACCACTTCAGATCACGGCAG